CTGACCCACGGCTGTTTGTGGTGCTGTGGGACCCCGGCTGCTCCCAGGCACTGGAATGTGACTCTCAGGGGCGTCCAATTGCTAAATTGTCAGTGTGCTCCCTGGCACGTTCTTGGCCCACACACCCTTGCGCTCTGCCGAACATTTCCTGGTCGCACTCCATGAATTAGCACAGAGCAGATGACATGGGGCCAGGAAAATAATCCTGAGAGTATTCAGTTTACTAGGCATCATCAACATGATGTTTTGTTTGTGTTATTCAGGGGGGATGTAATGCTTTGAAGTGATGGGTTTAGCTTCTGTGGAAGTCTGTGTGGCTGAATTGTATTTTTACAACTTAAATCATTAAGCTGTGGAGGGTTGCAAGAAGGTTGCAAGTAACCATTAGGATTTAGGATGATTTTGTGAATTGAACGAAAGACAAATTTTACGGCTTTATGTAGAAAAGAAAGTTCATTTTTGACTCTTCTTTTTTTACATATGTATATACATGCAGCTGTGTTTGAGAACGAGAGCTAAGAGCTAACACTGTTAGCAAAGTGTTTTGGGAGGTCAGGCAGAATTTCTCTGAAGGAAGATGCTTAGGTACAGGACCACAAGCGAAGAGAATTCAATACAAGAATGCAGCAGTATCATATTCTGTATTTTAAGGAGTAAATATTTTCACTGTGAAACACGTAACAAAGGAGACAATCCGAATTAGGAGTTAGGGGTACCAGATTTTTATTTGAAAAACTGAATGCGTGACATTTAGGTTTGAATTACTATCCAAAAGTTATTATAGCACCCTAAAATCCCGTGCCATCACGATAGGTGTTTGCATCATTTTTATTGGTTTATTTATTTATTTATTTATTATTATTTAGAGCTTAGGTAGGGGAAAAATGACTGTCGGCAACTGGGGTGGACTCCCGTCAGCCTGCTGGTTTAACCTTTTGGTGCACTCTAGCAGGTCAGTGGAAGTCAGGCTTGCTGAGCCCTGAAGCACAGCATACAGCCAGGATGCAGTCAGTTTGTAAGAGCAAAATAGGGAACAATAAAAAAGGTGAAAGAGAAATGAATGGGCAGGGAACAGGCTTTTGTGACTAAAAAGTCATGTGGCAGCATGGTTGGGTAGGAACTAGTCTGTAAAAAAAAAAAAAAGGACAAGAAACCTCATCATGCTGATTAACCACACATTATTTCAGCAACACAAAATGTCTTTGAAGATCTGGATCATAATGACCTGCTTGAGCTACCCTTACTCATTTCTCAGTCTAACACAGTCCTCATTCCTGCCTTTCACTCTCCGAGGGGATGCTTCCCTGCGCTCCAGTTGCTGTTACACTTTTGCTCTGGGCTCTTGTCCTGTCCCCTGAAATCCAGTCAGTTCTCATAAGCTGGACATGGGATCTGTACCATGGGAGGAAGACATTTTAAGCCTGAGAAATGGTGCTCCTGTTTAGCATGTTTTTTTTTTTTTTTCCTACAATTGTATGGCAGTGGTGACTAAGGCTTTTAAAATTATTTTTCTTAGTCTACTGAAACCTTAATTGGCTTTGAAAGAACTGGTGGCTGTCTGGTTCTTCCCTGTCTCGTCACTGTTCAGTTAATTATTTCCACTTCTCAGGGATTTATAACTTCAGGCTTGTTTCTAATCCTAAACATCTTCCAGAATAGTTACAGCCACTCCAAACTTGCCGGTCTGCATACTTCATAAGCTTATTTTTTCTTCTACCAACCTTGTCTTAAAATATTTAATACCTTACGGCAGATTTCTGCCCAATTCTACTTGATACAGCCTCTCAGTTTAATAACTAGTCTTTGCTTATCCTCTTTGTCCCTACCAGTTGAACACTTGATTTACAGAGATTTCCTCTAAACCGTATTTCTTTGGTTTGTTTATGTGAATGGCCTGCATCAAAAGCCTTACACTAATGTATGCAATGTCTTCTATTTCCTTTATCTGCTTGGCTTGTTATCCTGTTATATAAGGAAATTAAGACAGTTTGATAGAATTTCTTCTTGAGGAATCCATAGTGGTTATGAATTAACAAATTCTATCTTCTGCGTACAAGCAGTATCTCATGAAGTAAAATTATATAAATTTAGAAAACAAAAGAGATTGTGTGTGGTTTATTTTGAGCAGCATTTGTGATCTGCCTCACTCTCATTTTGGAGGATTTTGTTCTGGAAAATTAATGAAAAAACTTCGACTTAACACTTAGAAGTGTTACTTCCTTTGAAGAAAGAGCTTCCCTTTGAAGAAATGTACCAAAATTGTAATCCTACATTTTAGTAAGATTAACATTGTTTTTTCTCCAACATTTTACTTACAGATACCAAATGCACTGGGATCTAGAGAAAATTTAGGTGCTGTGCTTTATTATGGCTTTTTTTTTAGTACCTTTAGGCAGAATGAAGATGAATGGGTAGGGTTTCAAACATGATGTATTATTTAGTCTTAGCTTCATATGAGAAGGGCAATCGTGTCTGAAGTTGGGATAAAATATCACTATATGCAGTGATAGTAAAATAATATAAATTATTTTGATTGCTATTGCTAGTCCCTAGTTATACTAGTGAATTACTGCAGAATGGATTTGACACATCAAAAGGGTGCTCATTTTGATGCTGACTCAGAGGACTGACTCCTTCATTGCATTCATGAAAGCTGTGTAGTTACTTACCAGTTTTGCTTCACTGTAGGGAAGAGGCTTGCTTTTCATATGGATGAATGTATATTCTTTTATATCTAAAAAGGTATTCTGTATTCTGTCTATGCCTACTTTGGGTAAAGATTTATTTTTGATTGTGCACTGAAAAAAAAATCAATTTGAGAAGTCCCATGTTTAGGAGCTAAATATTGCCAGTTGTAATGGTATTTTGAGACATTTGGAAAATACTCCGTTTTCAATATTCTATTAATGAATACTGGATTTTTGCACTTTTGATTATTTTAATCAAAATCAAAATGCTTCCTTGAAACACAATAAACTTTCAGATAATCTACAAAAAGCTCTCAGTAAAGTGGAGTATCATGTCCAATAATGCTTACAGAAGGATCTGCTGTATCTTCTCTCAGTGCAGGCTACGACATTCAATGCTTGTTTAGAAAATCTCGGCACTTGAGATTGTGATTCATAGGCAGCATCTCTTTCTCATCATGGACATGTGTGTTTTGTGTGTAATGAGTATTTCTTTTGTGAGTGATGAACAAAACATAACACTGTTTAGCTATGACTAGAGAAGGTGCTTTTGCAAAGAACAAATTCAAACTATGACAATTTGTGCTTCTAAATCTGGAAATCCTCAGTTCTACTGGGCCTTGGGTAAGGGGGCTGCCCTGCATGTCTACAGGCAGTTTAACTACACATCTAAATAAGGTATAGCAGTTTGCATCCCTCGTTTATTCCAGTCACTGATCAAATATTTTGGTGAAGTGTAATGCAAACAGAACCACATGTCTAATCCTTTCCTTACAATGAACAGTAGGCCACATCCTAAACCGCTTATGTAGAAAAAGTCCTTCTGAGGCCATTATTCCAGAGCTGAATAAGCCCTGATGGGCTGATTCGAGAGGAACGATGCTTAAGTATGCTCTTTGCAAAAGACTTCAGGCAACTATACCCCCCATTATGTACAACCTCAGCCAGGGGAGTTATATGGGATTAGTATGCAGCTGACTTTTTGTCTGCTCTTCTATATTTCCTTTGACTAAATACCAAATTCCAGAGAGACTTCTTGATAACATATTACCTGTTAAAATGCAGTGCATAGTTATGTTTTAATTAGGACTGATTTTGGTGCAAAGATTGAAGTTATGACATGTTTATGTCCTACTTTTTGAAATCGATTGATAAGTGTGTATTCCAGGAAGAACAATTGCACTGTGAGATCAGTCTTTCAGATTTTACTTTCTTTCCGCTTGCCTACCTCCTGTTCGCTTGCCAGGGACTATAAGGTCCTGCTGTCCTTGATCTGCTGCTCAGGAAGAGGACAGACCTGCTTGCTGCCATCCTTCCTTTCCCCTGGTCCTGATCTTTCCTCACAGTCTCACCTGTGTGGCCTCCCAGGAAGCCCATTCAGTTTGCTAATCAGGCAGAAAATGATTTCCTGGGGGGCTTTTGCTGGTCCCAATGCATTGGTTAAACCAGTTTCTGAGCTACTGGGAATATGCCAGCCAGTGCAAGCAAGCAGCAAGACCATGCGACTCGGAGCCAGGGGATGACAGGAGATAGGCAGAGGTGGAAAATACCATTGCCTTCTTTCCACAGGAGAGAGGTGTGAGATTGGCACAGCCGTGGCATTTCCCCCCATCCCTGCGCTCCTGCCACCGTGCTCCTTGTCCCTGCTCTCTCTGCAGCACCCAACTTGAGAAACCGTTTTCCTTCTTCTTGGAGAAGTTCTCATTGAGCTATAGATCTATCAGGAAACTGAAGATGGTAAAAACATGTGAAAACTAAGACAAAGTAAAATTAAATAAGAAATAACTTCAGGCATCTGGATTTACAGGTTTTAAAAGCAGGACAACATAATGCACTCAGGCTTCCTTACCCAAAACAAAAGAATGGAGTAGCTTAAAAGTATTGAAAGCTGTCTTTTTTTCTGAGATTTTTTCTGATCCAAATTTTTATGTATCTGTTTATTTACAAGCATTTTTATTTTTTATTATTTACAAGCAGCTTTTAAGATGTGGAGACAGTTCAATTTAGTAAAATACAGTTCAACATCCCATTACAAGTTGCTTCACTGTGGAAGAGAACATCCTTCATGACCACAGATTCAACTTAGACGCAGCCTTCAGCATTGACTGCTGAGGCTGGGTTTGATTAATCCTCTGCTTAAGCTTGTCAAACAGTGTTCTGATTTGTTTTGTGTTCTCCTTTAGTCAAAAGCTGTGGTTTATGGACGGGGCTGGTCACAGTGGTCACAAAAGGCTTGTGCTTAGTTTGTTTTTTCACATGGAAAAAATACACAGATTTTTTTTATAACATGATTCTTCTTTCTTTATTCTACAGAGACCTAAGATTTAATAGGATTAAAGAAATCCAGCCTGGAGAGTTTAGACGGCTTAAAAACCTGAACACACTGTAAGTTCTTTTTCAACCCTAAGGCCCTTTACCCTTGTGATTTAATAGGATTATTTTGATAATGTACCAAATTTGCTCACTTATCACAGGTCTCACAAATTTCAGCTTTAGTATTTACACAGGTGAGGGAAGTGGGATTTAGGCCTGAAGTATTTCAAAGCAAAACCCGGTATATGTCTATAGAAGTAAAAGAGGAAATTATTTACATCCTAATGTTTTATTAACATACTGTAATTTGAGCTATGAAAAATACAGACCTTTACTGTATATTTTTTTCCAAATTTTGCTAAATGACTTTAGTGGAATTTCACATGATAAATCATGGAGTTACAACAAATATATTCAAAGGCTCAGATGTACTAATGTGTTGCAGTTACAAAATACTTCACAGAATCACAGAATCACAGAATGTTAGCGGTTGGAAGGGACTTCTGGAGATCATCTAGTCCAACCCCCCTGCCAGAGCAGGACCACCTAGAGCAGGTCACACAGGAATGCATCCAGGTGGGTTTTGAATGTCTCAAGAGAAGGAGACTCCACAACCTCTCTGGGCAGCCTGTTCCAGTGCTCTGTCACTGTTTGTGGTATTCGACAAACTCTTAACATTTTTAACTTTCCTATTCTAATGTGCTGGCCAGGAGTGGCAGAAGTTGGAAGGTTTTGTTCCTACTGAGCTGCCTTTTATGAGGCCTTTGTTAGCATATATGTTTGTGAAGAGAAGTCCATGTTTTCTAAAAGACTTTTTGCAAACCGTAATGCAAATAGTATGTAAAATTAGTATCTTCTTTGTAATTCCTTCAAAGATCACTTTTGAAACAAATACGTGCATGTTTCTCTTCTCTAATGTATTAAAGGACATGAGGAGGAGTTAAGATGGACAGTTATTTTTACTTTTAAATGTACGTATTTTATGATAGCAAATTTGAGTCTCTTCTAGAACACAAGTAGTGTGTAAGCTGCAATATAGTTGTGATATCAGTGACCTTTGGATCGCTATTATCTATCTATCCTGAAGCGCGTAACAACAAATGTATTGAGACATCTGGTACTGATGTTCACAGCAGAAGAAATGATAGGACTTTCCCCAAAAAGTATGTTGTCCAAATCTGTGCTACCAAGAAATTTTTACTAGCTGTCCCTACTTCCAGTTACCTTTGATCATACCTCTGTTTGCAGTTGATCCCCAGTTTGGAATTGCAATTTCTGTCAGATATCCACCCTCAAGTTTTAACTGTCCAAATGAGTGATCTGAGATCCTCAGGTCCTGAATAAAGACAGGATTCATTAAGTTTGGATTCTCTTCATTAAACCACTGCATGATGGATGAGTGCAAATCTGTGAATACAGAGAGTTGTGTTCCTGTATGATGTAAAGGGCCCAGTACACAGAATATTGCTAAAAAGCATCTAGGAAAAGTCACTTTTATGACCTGCTAATGACAAATCTTTGTGAATACCGATTTTATCAATTTCAAACTGATGTATAGACTTGAGACGAAGATTTTTTTTTTCCCCTTCATCTTCATGTCAGGTTCTTAAAAAAAGCCGCATTATTTCAGTTTTTAGATTTTTCTTCTTTTTTTTAGTTCTGTCTAATTTTTTCAGAGTTTTATCCTGCAAGGTAGTGATTGCGAAGCAGTAAGCACATCACACTTTTTTCTTCTAACAGTTACAGTTAAGAGAAAAAAGTTTTTGTTTTGTTATTTTTTTAAGCTTTCCATTTAATGCTACATTGCACCTGCTATTACACTTCCCCCCCCCCCGTTCCTATATGTTAAAATAAACAGCTGTTTATTTCTTTTTATAGGCTTCTAAACAACAATCAAATCAAAAGAATACCTAGTGGGGCATTTGAAGACCTTGAAAATCTGAAATATCTGTAAGTTGCATAAATGTGTAACTGAACTTCTTCAATGGGAAAGTGTTTTAATCTGACTCACTATATCAGGAGATAAACTGCTTTGAAAATCTGTGAAATTGATTTGTGGGGTGAGGGCAACTGTGAATCTTTGTTTTTATAAGTAGGTGTTTTGAGTTTTGCTAATGTAAAACACTGATACCTGTAGGCAGTAGATTTTAAAGTTACTAGTTTCTGTTTACCATGTGCAACTTAAAAGATAATTTTAAAAGAGGTGTGTTGGAAGATTTAGGAAGTCACCTCTTCAAAGGTTTACTGAAACCTCCATACAGGTACTTTTACCATGTGTGTTTTGAAAAGTGGTTTAAAGCAGCTCGTCCAAGATTTGTGTCTGCAGAAGCTTGTAACTTCTATAAACTTTTTAACTACTCCTAGATTTTTGACTAAATGCAGTGTAAATTTTTAAGAGAAAAATTAAGTCAAACACAAAATAGAAAAGTACCTATATGATTTGTCATAAGTTCTATGTCTTCAGGCACCCTGTATCTTTTAAGACTGACTCCTCCCTTTTTTAACAAACATAAATAGTGTATTAACCATTCAAACAAACAAAAGGCATCAAAGAATGTTATTTTTATCCGTATAAAAGACTAAAACTGAATAGTGAGTTGTCATGGATTCTCAGCTCCAGTCTCTGGACTCCACCTCATGTAGAAAAGTTTCACTCCATTGTCTTGGAGTATTGATCATTACTTGAATGCTGTACAGAAAAAATTGGTCACTTTGAGATTTCATTGTTTTGGAAACAATTCGAAAGCTTACCTTTCCATCTAGGTTTCAAGGATACAGCCTGAATAGTGCTAAGGAGGTGGGAGAAGGGAGGAAAATAATAATCACATACATTTGTGCAGACACAGAACCTGGTTTTCCAAGCTGTGTGTGATTACATGTCCTGGTCTCGTGTTTGTGTATTGCCGTTCAGTAATAAAATTGTTTAATCTCTGTATAATAGGAGGAAAAAGAATATTGACCAGACTGTCCCCAATGGATTATTAAAGTCCATGATGATTGTATTTGTTATGAGATAAATTTTGTATGGTGGATCTGGTAGAGGAGTAGGTCTACTAGTTCAGGATGGCTAAGCTTCTTTCTGTAGTCAGCAACAGTGCAAAAATACTACTTGGTTCTTACTAGTTCTTTGTTTTCACAGACATGCCTTTGCCTAGCTGTAGTAAACCTGAGATAAAACTCAACTGTGCACTCTGTTCGGTTCAATAAAAGTGAGAAGAAGTAACTCAACTATGATTTGTTTTCATATACATGTAGTAATGTTTATCTATATCTGTGTGGTTAAGAGGAAAATCTTTTCCTCTTGTTCCCTGGAAAATTTTAATATAAAGTTCAGTTCCTTCAATTGCAGGGAGTTCTTTAAAGCCATCCCTGTTTTGCTAAAATAAACTTTAAGATGATCTTTTTGCCATTTTCAATGGCTGTGATATAAATGTTTAGCTTTAAACTGTAAAGCCTTAAAATTGTAAAAATGCTGGTACTGATTACATAATCAATACAGAAGGCTTAAAGGTACCAAATAAACACAGTTTAGCTGTGAAAATTTCAGCTAAGTACATTGCTAGCTGTATTCTGCAGAACAAAGGGAACAAAACAGACCATTTCTTCCAAATAGGATCAACTGAAGTAGAAATTAAGGGAAGAGGTTGTACAAAAGTTAGAAATACTATTCAGAATTTAATAATATAAAGCCAAATAATCTGGGATAATTGAGGTATTGTATGGCCGGATTCTATGGATGTTTGCAAACCTAACTTATAATGTGATGTTTCATAAAATGTTATATTTCATGATGTTACTTCTGTTCTTACAAGAACTCAAATACTGGATTGCAGATGGTTCTGAAAATGTGTAATTCACTGAGTAGTTTTAGAAAATGGGCCATTTCTCATTGTCTCTGTTTTAGCAAAATATAAATATAAAATGTATAGCTATTAGTAAATATGAATATATAACTAGGTATAAAAAATACTTGTAACTATATAGTGATATATAAAATATGTAAGTATAAAACAAAACACAGTATATTTATTTAAAAAAAAAGGCCAGTGTCTGACAGATAGATGTCAAGGCCCGTTCCTGTATCGCTGCTGATCAGTTTTTGCGCTCTCAGACAAAATGTTTTTCCAGCAAGTGTCAAAGAAGCCCTGGAATTTTCAAATGCTGCTTTGCACTATTTCTTTCTGAAATTGAGCTTAGAGTTTTATAAGGTATATATGTTTTCACAATTGTCTGTCTGAAGAAGAAATTATGACAAAGAGTAATGATATTTTCTGAAATTTCTGTGCATTAAAAATATTCATCATTGTGAAAGTTGGTCTTTACGTTATAAAAAGAAAATTATGCACAAATGATTTTTGAAGCTTATTTTTTAGGAATATTTGTTGTCCTGTTCTTTATGTAATTGAACTATAAACATTTTTGCACGATCTTGCTGTGCTCTTTGTGGTAATAGTTTGTCTTTGAATTCATATATTAAAAGTTGGAAAGAAATATAATTATTTTTTTGCTATGAAACAGAGAGGATACTTTTTTTTTCTCTACCTTTCTGTCTATCTGTCTTTATTTCATACACATTAGTGTTGACAATATGGTTCTTTAGTAAGGATCAAAAAGGCATTTCTGCACTTCAGTGATTCTGTATAATTTTGTGGGTTTTATGTTCCCCCTTCTACAAAGGATACTGTAAACACTCCTGTCTGAAATAAACTTTAAAAGTTTCCTTCATATGAGCAAAATAACTGGTAACACGTTTGTAATTTTTTGCTACTGATATAAGATGTATATGTGTACATGATGTATATGGTACACTGAATACATTTAATTGACTTCCTGCAAGTTATTCAGTTTACTAACTAGAGGTGGTAGTACAGAAAGATGAGAAAGCAAAGCTTCCCAACCTTGTAGTATAGATGCAGGCAGATTTGTGGAAAGTTGGTAAATAATCCATCCTGATCCTGAAAGTCAACTGTTTGTTCTCCAAGAGAGAAGATAATTGAAGGAAGAGACGTACTGTCATTTTAACATGCAGGATATGAGAAGATTTGGAATCAGCAGTGGGGAAAATGATGTTAAGTTAAAAAGAAAGAATTTAGGGAGAAGATACAGAAAAATATAAAAAAAAAAAATTAGTGATTAAAAAAACCTGTCCAGATAAAGTGAAGGTACTTGGTATTTACAGAGCAGTGAACAAGAAGCTAGTGTGAAAGAAAGGAAGGAAATAAATATGGAGAATGAAAATAACTTAGTAAGAAATGGAGAGGTGAGGAATCAAACATGACAACGTTGCAATGAATGTATGATAAATGGAAATTAAGACTCCAAGAAATGTATCCGTTCTGGAAATACTAAAAGGGAACATGTAATGTACATTGTTTTGCCTTTGGTGAATGAAGTAATAGTGGTAGAAGGTATGTTATAAGTTTGTCAAAGTGCTGAGTTGCTGACCTCACCCTTCCAGAAATGGGATTAGGTCATGTTTCCTTCTGTGCTTTCTGCCGCTCTTGCTGTCATGGTCGTGTTACTTTGTTCTTTGAACACCCGCAGTGATTCCAGATCTCATTTCTTTGCCATTAGTGTGCTAATTTCACCGTCTCCTTTATGTTTCTATATAAATCTCTCTTTGCTATATTTATTTACTTGTAAGGTTTAAGTCTACAATGCCTGATATTGCTATTACTTTTTACCATTCTCCCCCTTTGGTTCCAAACAAATGTATCGGGGTTTTATTTTCCTTAAACTGCATGACTTTCAATAGAGTCCATTAAAATAAACAAACAAACAGAAATTAGCCTCATAGGGGATCTAGCAAACTTTTTAATTAAAACTCTTTATTTCTAATTTTCTGATAACTGGTAACCTATTTGGTTGTTCATTTCCCAAATATGTGACCGGTACCTCTAGCCTTTATCAGCCTTGCTTTCTGGAAAAATGCTATTTCTTTTAACTCTTCTGAAAACAGTAGTAATTGCCAGAAAACAATTTAATATCTTCATAGAATATGTCCTGTTGTCATCTTAATCCACGGTTTATTCATTATTTGTAAAATTCTAATGGTTCAGTTCTGTAGGAGAAGTTTTAAGCAAATGAAATGATAAATTACTTTTTCCCTAATTATGCTCTAGATCTATTTTCTGCTAATGTAACTGGGGTAAATTTTGAGAATGTTTTTTGTTAAAGATTAATGCAGTGTTTATGAAGTTTTACTTTTTAGGCACAGTAGCATTTTAGAAAGACATAAATATTTTTCGTGAGTGCTACTTATTTGTATTTTGTATTCTGTCATCTCTGTTAGGCAAATATATAAATGTTTTTCTTTCTGTTAATATTCTCAGGGAAATATCTACACGATTAAATGAAAGTCTGGTTAACACATTTGTCATAGGACATATGTTTTTGTAGCCTTGGGGTTGCTGGGGTTTTTCTGTGGAGGAGAGATGTGATGGCCTGAGGTCAGCTGAGTGTCCTGCAGCTGAGGGTTTTCTGATCAGCATGGAAAAAGTTGTAGTTTAAAGCTGAATCCCAAGTAAAGTCCCACTACAGTGGCTTGGTAAGAGCTCCAAAAAGGGAAAAGCTGCTCCCTTCCTTGCAATATGATGGTAAAAGTCTGCAAAACTACCAAGTCAGTATCCCAGTCTTCCTCTAATCCACCTTTATTTTTTCACACAGCCTTACTTTGTCCGCAGAAATTAAATAAAAGTTCCATGAATGATTCTGCTAAAACTTTTTTTAAAAAATTGGAATAATTCAGATTTCTCAAATAAAATTATTCAAATGCCCTCAAAAGATACTTAGCTGAGGTTGATTATTAAAACCATCTTAGCCCACTCTGGTTTACTGGTTTGATGAGAAATTTAGTACTCAGAGGAATGAGAGGAATTTCCACACTGCTAAGTAACATGTATTAAGAAAGGTAAATAACACTTTAGCTGTTCAGTCCTTGACACTTTCTAAGGAGTGAGAAGAAATGCTACATTTAAAGTTCTGGCTTGAAAATGAGGTAGTAATTTAATATCATACAGAGAGGAAAATTATGGGGAGACAAAATTGTAATGACTATGATCCTCACATGAATTGGTAAATCTGAGTTAAAACAAATATTTGGGTACTCGTGAAATAATATTTTTTTGAAGTAGGGTAAAAAACAATTCCACATCCAAAACGTGTAATATAACTATTCTCTCTCTTTTCAAATTATTTTAAAAGTTTTACAGTAATTTCACATGACAGTAATTTTTTTCCAATTTAATTTGTTCATAATTTTTAGCATTTAAAAAACCTCAGAAATTTTTTCTTCCTTGTTATTCTGTTGTTGGAGGAACTCTGCTTTTTGTTCAGATGCATACCTATGTTACACAGGCGTACCTGGGTGTCTGTTTATTAATGTGTTTGAATCTCAGCAAGCAATGCTTTGGAAAACTAAATTTGGTTTAGGGAAGGTTACTACTCCGTGTTGTCCCCCAGTTGTCATGAGTTGAACATCAGATAGCTACGTTTTTTTTCCTTGTTAGGGCCTATTGTGAGATGTTGCCCATTGTCGAGTCATTGTGATTACTGCCACCAGCTCCAGCAGAGCCAGTATTTTATCTGTTGCATCATAAGAATTTTGCGATATTTCCCATAAGTTAGAGAACTGTAATAACAGAAAAGTCCAAACCACTACTAATAAAATGCCTGCTAATAAAGCCATTTGTGGTCCAAAGTCTCTTCATCACTTTTTCGTAGGAATCCATGCCTGATTAATTGAGTTTCAAATAATATATCAAGTAATTGTGAGAAAGTTCTTAACTGTGAACCTGTTCCTAACCTAACACAAAAAGAGAGTGGCTGACACTGAACCCTGAAAGTATTTTCGTTTGCTGCCTCCATGCAGAAACTGCATCATTAGCTAAACTGTGATTTCCTCCAACACCCTCTCACTAAACCATCCTTGCTGTTATAAGCATGATGAACGTGAGCACATACACTGGTCCATCCTGGTTTATTTTAATTCGAGTAGAAAAAGTATAGACAACACATGTGAACATACTGGTACTCTGCATATGTTTATTCTATTTATATTATGGAGTATCAATGGGGACATCATGTCCATCTTCTACACAGTGATAAAACAAATAGACAGTGCTGTTTTATGGATGCAATATCAATATTCCAACTTGTATTTTTTGTAAATATTCAAAAGGGAACATAGGTGGAGTTACAGAAATTCTCAATGTTTGTTTTCCAAGTCCAATGAAAAGACTTATTCCATCATAATTTGAATATTTATACCAGTATTCAGATGAGATATTTTAAAGAGAACAAGAGGCCAATGGCATCCCCAGTGTGTCCTGGTAAAGGCACTTCTGATGCAATTCTGTCCCATTGAGTGGAATTTATTTTGACTTTTGGCAAGTCCACCAAGAAACCGAGGGGCAAAGAAACAGTAAGTAATGAGTGAGCACTGGGAAGCCCAAGACCATCTGAGTGACAGCCTCAGGGCCTACAAGGCCCCAGACTTTTGTCTTTCCTGGCAAACATTTGGTATGAAATCTCAAGGACAAAGTATTTTTATGTGTATGTGTTTAGGTTTTGTTTTGTATTTTTTTCCTAATATGTAGTTGAAAAACTGTCGTCATGTCAACTTAATTCTTCTTTTCCACCTTCATGTAGCTCTTGTTTGTGTACTAATATTACTGATTGTTTCTTGTTTCAGCTATTTGTACAAGAATGAAATCCAGTCAATTGACAGGCAAGCATTTAAAGGACTTGCCTCTCTAGAACAACTGTAAGTGCCTTTTCTCTTCTGTGCTGTCATCTCTATGGTTCCCCTGCAGAGGAAAAGTGCACGCCTTGATCGTACATCCTGCCTGCATGCTCTGCATGTCTGCGCTCCCTAGGTTGTTAGGCAGAGAGCCCTGTAATCATTTGCATGTGAAAAAACACGATTGATCTCTGTGTCAGATTCCTCATTTCTATGTTTGTCTTTTATTTGTGATTTGCATTCCTGGTGTCCCTATACATTGTTAAATAGCTTTGACAAAGAAGCAGCATTGTGGAAAATGTTGAAAACTAATGTGTGTTGCTTAGAGACAGATTCTGGTTCCATTTCTGTAGGTTTTATAACATTGCAATTCCTTTGACTGTAGCAGTTACTTTGTTTTATGCAGCATAACTAAAGCTGGATTAGTCTTTTGAAGTTCAACCCGGTTTTATTATATTTTAAAACAAGAAGAGATTTTAAAGTTAAAACCTTAGTATTCTTGATATGTGTTAATCATTGAGATATACCAAAAAGTAAGACAGTTCATTGTTTGTAATGTAGATGTTTCAATAATATCTTCTAGAAAGAGTAATTAAAATCATACTTCTTTTCCTGTATAGTGACTAAAGAATAATTTCTATTAAAAATAATTAAAAATGCAGTCCTTAGAATGACAAAAACTGATTGTAAAGATTCCATTAAGTTTAACTAGATTTTGTTTTATAATCAGAAAGCATTGCTATACTTTCATTGTGGTAAGGTTTAGAAAAATAGAAAGAGCTATAAATGCATAGCTATTTCACAGTTTGGCTGACTAATAACAGTGCCAGACCAATGAGTTTTGTAGCATATAAATTTGGGGGGGCTGAATATTTTTATTCTAGAATCAACATGAATTTTGAAAATCCTGACAGTTGTCAGTGTATTATAAATTTTCTATATGTACCGGTTTCGTTGTTACTGTAAGCCTCTGGTAGATGTTAGTGGACACAGTGTGTATCTGAAATAAAATAACACTTTGGATGGGTACAAAATCATACAAAGTCATTTTAGAGGGCAATAGATGCCTTTTGAATGTAAAGCTTCTATATAAAACAAAAGTGATGATTATAAAACGTATATAAATGTCATTTGTTTCCTTAATGCTTTTCTCTTCCTCTTTCTCCTACTCTAGAAATCATTACTGCAGCATTTTGCCAGCTACTGGTAGGGCTTACTTGCATGCTAATAGCAATGCTTATTTTCTGTGTAGAATTTTATTGAGGCCCATTTCTTGAATTACTAATGCTCCCAGAATAATATTCTTTCCCATGCCACGAGCCTGATGCCACAAGCAGCGACAGTTGTCTTTTTTTTTTTTTTTTCTTTCGCTATGTTTCCCGTTGATCTGTGTTATGACTGAAAAACCCAAATCACTTTGGAATATTAACACCTTCTGAGTATACTTTTCCACTGGGTTGCAGTTAAGCCTCTCTGCCTGCAGTGATATCACACTGTATGAGCTTCAGCTCAAACTTGAGATATCAACATTATTTTGTATGAAATTAAGTTTTAAGCAGGGTTTGAGCCTTATCTCTGGCTGGGAAGTATGTAAACGGAGTGTGCACAGTCGCTGCTCAGTGTCTGCCCTTGTGCCATGGCAGCAGTTGCTGGGAGCAGCGCCTACAGCTGGTCTAGTGAGCTGCCGGGATGGGGTTACTGCCCTGCCGAGTGCACATCAGAAAGCTCGCTTCTTTTAGAGCCCTTCCCTGGGGCAGATCTTGAAAAGAAGGCTTACCGTGTGTGGAAATGGGAGCACAGGAAGCCAGTGGCAGGCCTGGAAATAAATGTAATGGACAGTGTTCATTGAGATTTGCTGTTTGAGAGATTTGTCTTTTATGCATCTTTAGCATAAAAATAGGTTCTGACTCTACAGAGTCAGTTTTATCACATTATCTTTGAAGAAAGACTGTGCTCATAAGACAAAAATTAATCTTTGTGAACAAGTTCCCAAGTCCTCTAACCTCACTTTGGGACTGTATCCACTACTGAGTCGATGTTTCTGCATCTGAGGCTTCTTTGGCCTCAGGTTGTCATTTTGCTACTGGATGTGTTGACTCAGCCAAATGCTCTTCTCAATGCTCAGCAGAGTTCTCAGAAGTAGATTTTGTGGTCCACATCTCAGGAAAAGACTTGATCCAGAGTAATTTTAATTTCTTCAACCCTAATGAAACTGATAGTTGCTTTTTTTTAAAAAAAAAAAAAAAAAAAGAACAGCAAAGCAAACACTTTTCTGGTTTTTTTTGGTGTTTTTTTGGTTGTTGTTCATTGAGAGAACCTATAAATATGGTTTGATTTAGGAGGTCTTTTGTATGTATAAAGGAAGAAAAAACCCCAGTATTTACTGCGGCTGGCAGGATTCTTCTTAAAACTCTGCAGCGGAATTCTTAGCTGCTGATATAGTAGAAATATCTTTTTCTTTGGGAATTTCTGCCAAGGGAATAAGGTCTTTGAATCAGATATCGAAACTTGCTTGTGCTAGAGTAAATTCTGAAAAAACTTGGCAGTTTTAGATGCTCAACCACACTGATCCATACACACTTGGTCACCTAACTCTTCAGTCATGGCAGGGCATGAAGGGAGAAAGTCTGCTGATGAAAAGTAGCCTCTTAGTACCGGTTTAGACCCTGATAAATCTGCAAGACATATGTTTGGGTCTGGCAAATGTGACACAAAGCTGCAGGAAACTTGCATTTTTTTCGGAGCAGCAGCCGGAAGGCAGCCAGAGCACCCAAAAGGCAACTGGCTCTGTACGCTTGCGCTTAGACAACCCCTATATGCCTCTATTATGCCTGTGCTTAGACAAATGAATCCCATCTGAAATGTCACAAATACCTGGCTTGGGAGGTCATGAATTTGCTGTATCTGGATCCCAAGATCTAGCTCTAAATGCAGTCTGTTTGCAGATGTGTGTACATTGCTTTTCTTCCAAATATCTGCTATATTTTTTGAGATCTCAGCTTAAGGGCTGTATGTATCAGGGACAAAAAGTGTTCTCTGCAGTCCTTAACTAGTGTGATCTCCAAATACTAATGAAATTATTTAAATCTGTTTACCTAATCTTAGTGGAATACTAATTATGCATTTTCTTTTGACTTTCATATTAACATACTGATTTTGCTTTTTATAAGCTGTTATTATTAGAGTTTGTGTACATATTTTGGGGAAAATTAATAGATAAAAACATTATTTTACTCATAATGATGCCGCTTGTTATATTGATTTTATTTCCCCCAATTCAATTTTCAGTAGCTTTGAAATGTTGCTATGAATTTTTTAAAGTTTTATATTACAAAGAGTTCCTGGTTTTTGCATAACTGTATGTGAGCATTTTATGCACATTTAACACAGTGAAGCCTGATTAAGGTCTCATTGCTGCTAAAAATACCTATGGTAAGGAATAATGAAAGAGAATTAGTTAATAAACAAACCCAAAATGTATGAAAGGGGCCTTGAAAAGTATATCCATATTATTCTGAAATAAGATCAGCTAGGTACAACAAACCTAGATGACTGGAAACAGATATTTATTTAACCTTATTGAAGAGTCTTTAAAGACAGGATTCAGTAATTTCCTTGAGTATCCTGTTCCAATATTTTGTATCATTACTTTAACTTCTTATATAAATCTCTTTCCTTGTGGTTTAAGCCTGTTACTTCCTATTGTACCCCCAGGCAGGGAAAGCTCTTTGATAAATGTGGGAAAAATATGTTTGTTCATTCTCTTTCAAATAATCACAATGGCAAACATGCTATTTAAGTATTCAGAACATAGATTATACTCAACTAATGGATTTTAAGTACTTCCCCAAAGATGTGAAGATACTATTAGAAATGAACAAGTGGCATATATGGTAAAAGTAATCCTCTGCAAAAATATTATGCTACAGAGGATATAATCCTAAATTTAGTGCTGTGAAAAATGCCATTGGGACTGAATTTTAGCGTAAATGTTCATCCTCCAAGACTGATAATAACAAACAGAAAATCTGTACAGTGCTTATTTGATCAAATCTTTATCTTCATCTAGGTGTGTTTGGTTTGGACTTCTTTTTCCTTCAAGTATTTCCTTTCCTTGTATTTCATCCTTGATAGTGAATTCAGAATTAAAAAAAGAAGCCACAGGGATATTTAAAAATCACTCTTGCATACTTTTTCTTTAATTTTTGATTATGAAGGTCTTTTTAATATTGAATTTGTTACATTGTACTACAATATTTAAGAGTGTTTTATACTCTGAACATAAAAGATTTCTATAAAGATATGTCAGTATGAGATTATTTCCTGAATATTATTACCTTTAAGGTGAATTTTCAGTCCAAGAAATTATCATATTAAAATATTAAAAATCCTTTAAAAAAGCATTAGTGTGCTACATAGAAGAAAAGAATGTAAGTGATAAACCTAAGTGATAAAATGTGATTAAAGCTTAGATTGTAAAGCCAAGGATTTTTTATTATTTTTATTGTAGATTTACAATGCAATCTGGTTTCTGCAACTTTTTTTTTAGAATTACACTTGTTGCTAATTACTTTGTCCACGTATTTAACACCTTGTTCTGTTCATAAAAATCGTGACAAGTTGTTCGGAACATTTTTGAAGTGATAATTTAAAGACCTGCAAACCCCAACTAACCTGTCATATGAAGCAGTTAAAAGTATTTTCCAGTTGCAGTTCACGATTTGATTTTTTGAACTACTTGGGCAGCATGATTTCTGATGAGGTGAAGTTAACTGTCATGATGTTCTTCAGTGCCTGAATTATTGTAGTTATATTTCTGATGATTTGAGGTTGTAAACAAGGCAAGGCTTATAACAGAAGTATTGTTTTAATTAGAGTGATTAATTAGGCTGGGAAAACAAGATGAGTTTTCAGGCACATGAAGTATTCTTTACATCTGTTATTATAGTAGTCTTGACTACTAAACAGCAGTTATGAGCTGTTGCTTTGAGTTTGATGATGTATACATCACTTAAACCATCTGAGTGAGAGAGATATCCTTTCTTTTTCTCTCTTTCCTAATTTCACCTCTGATCCATGGACCTGAAGAAGGGGTGGTGTGCCTGCTTTTACCAACATTATTTGTTGTTCTAGTAAGAGGTATAACTTGTACCTACAAATCTTGCCTTGTCAATGCCAAAGAAGCACAAGAGATTAATTTATTGTGCAAATAAGGAGATACATTTGCAAGGTGCTTATGAATTGCGAAAATGCAAGTAGAATTAACAAAGATAAAAAGGAAAAAATCCCTATTGGCTGCACAAGAAGCAGTATATGTAATTTTTGCCAAAATCAAAGCTGCTTTAGAAGCAATAACAAACCCTATAGTTGTGCCCAGTTTTTCCATTCGTCCTTTTTCACCACAGTGATCCCCAACTAGCCTTGCCCCCTCCCATATGCTGCTGGTGCTGGGGAGGTGGGTGAGCAGAGCCCTGGCTCCTGGCAAAGCTGTGCCTGCCCACCTCATGGCAGAGCCCTGTCTGAGCAGCGGATACCATCCTGCTGGTCCTTCATCAGGGCTGGACCTGACTGAGGTCTCTTTTCTCTCCACTGGCGGTTCAAATGAACCTTGTGGGACGTATCTGCCTTGGAGCTGTCTGTCTTAGATGAAATTGGCCTGTATTTTCGAAAGGGAGACAAAGGCTGGCAGGCATAGCATGATTACGCACCTCTTGTTTCCTTATGCAAACAGGATCATACTCCGTGCTCACTACAACATGTGGCAACGCATTGCACTGGCAGTAAGCAGACTTGACACTCATGATGTGTCTGATCACATCCATGCTGATTTATTGGCTTTTTCTCTGGTCCCCGTTCATTGCTCCCTGGCATCACTCGCTGGCTCGTGCTCGGGCCGTGCTGCTGCTGGCGGGGGATCTGGGAGACTGCCAGGCACGTGCCTGGCTTCCCCGCCACACGCGCCTTGCAGGGCTCACTGCAACGACTCTCGGCCGTAATCACCGCTTGTTCCCGCTTCCCTCTCCGTGGCCACCATTCGGCTCAGGTCAGGGTGGTGTTTCAGTACAAGGGAGTTCCTGCGTCCTTTTACTTTTCATGCTGAAGGATTGATTTTTCAGGAGATTTTGGGGTCTGAGATTTTCTTTATTTTTAAATGATGAACTTTTTTTTTCTTCAACCCACAGTGATTTCTGTACATGCACATTCTCCAGATGTTCCTGAGTTAGTCAGAGGTTGAATAGGAAACTTTAGGAGGTTTGGATACATTTGGAAATAATCAGGATCCAAAGTCTATAAATCATTTTCACAGTTCCTTGTGCAAGTCTTATCAATTACTTCTTTTCTCATCCGCAATGTTACGGAGTGCCTCCACGACATAGTTGAGACTGGAATGATCCTGCCTTTGCAGTCCATTTTCACAGCAGTTACAGATTAATAATCTGGTTAATTAATTTGTGACATTAGACTTTTTCAGTTTTACAGGATTAGCAGCTGTGTGATATTTGTTTCTGTGTAATATTAATAGCTTACATAAGCATCCACAGAGCATTAGAACAGCTGTGGTGGTGAATTGTATACCAATTGCTGGGAAGCCCTTCGTCTAAAAAGGAGTCAAATCAAACTTGGTTTTAGATTATGAATTTTGGCTTTTGAGAGCGTTCATAGCTTCAAATGCCACTATGCATGGACTAAAGGAGGTTATGTCTTAGCATCTTTTGAAATTTTCACTCAATGTGATAGCAACGAAAACAGTTCCCCTCTAAAAATGTTATTCTGTTTTCTCAACAACATGCAACATTTTCCTGTAAAAAATAAAAATTTTCTAGTGAAAATTAGTCTCGGCAAAAGTGTGTTCAAAGTAGTATCTCCAAAATCTCCAAAGTAATGGTTTTCAAACACTTTTTTTTTGCACGTATATGTAGACACACACACACAAACACACAGACACACGACACAAACACACACACTACATAGTTGTCTGCAAACCATTCTGTTTGTCATGTCTTGTATTTCTCAGATTCAAGTACAGAACTCAGATGATAACAGAAGAAAGTTAAACCACTACATTACTATCACCATTTAGATGTGTAAACAATAACAAATGCTTTATAATATTTCAGCTTCATTAAGAAAACTGTTTCAGTATTTTTCTTTTTGTTTAACGTATTTTCAGGTATCTGCACTTTAATCAAATAGAAACGTTGGAACCTGAATCCTTTACCCATCTTCCAAAACTTGAAAGGCTGTAAGTTTATTTTTCTTGGGGTAAGATTCAGAAGTCAGCTGCTACTTTGTTTGCATTAAATCAAATGTTTGAAATTGGAAAATGATATTTTTATCGTTCTCATAGATTATTTTCAATCCATATTTTTAATTGTAACTACTACATAGCCTTTGCCAAGAACACGTTGGTCAGGCAGAAGTAAGCATTGCCTCTGGTATATTTTTTTATTGCAAAACTATTCCCCAAAGAGCTGTGATCAATGTTTGTCCTAAAATAGATGTTATGAATGGAGAAGTAGAAGATTTATATTATGACTTTTATTTATTTATTTATTTTTAGTTTCTCATTTGAATGCTTATGAACTCCCTTCCTTTTGATTACTTTATCTTTTTATGGCTTCTTTTTCCCCGTATGGATACACCACATACACCTTGGAGGCCACTTAAAAATTAGGAGCCAATGAATTGCTGAAAAATATTACTTTATTTATTCATTTATTTTGTAAAATTACTTCCTCTTAAAGGAATTTCAGAAAACTATAAATGAAATGAGTACATCTTGAAATCCGAATTATTAAGAGCGTATTTCTGTGCTTTTCAACAGATTTTTGCATAACAACAGAATAGCTCATTTGATTCCTGGAACATTTAGTCACTTAGAATCTATGAAGAGACTGTAAGTAAACTGAATTACTACTGAAATAAAGAAAGCTTAAGTAATCTAATTATACTGTATCTCATCTTGCAGTATTTATCTTCCTTGCAAATGCCTTTCATTGTGTAATAGTTTTAAATATTAAATAATATTTCCTAAGCTGTGCTCCAGTTGTTTATGCACATAGATTGAGACCATTTCTTCATATCCTACTCTGTTTAGTGACTGACTAAATCCTTTTGTTTGTTTGTCTTGCAATTATTTGTAATCATATGGTCTTGTTTTGTAGACTAAATAGTCTACATGGATCCTTCTTTGGTGGTTTTTGTTTGTTTGTTTGTTTTGGGGGGTTTTCCCCCTTCTTGTCTATGTCTAACTGGGTGATCCTTCTATGGTGTCTTTCAATATTTGATTATTTTGTTATTTTCTTTTAATTGTTTTACTTGTCTTTGTCTGATGATAAAAACATAGAATCATGTAATCATTAGGTTGGAAAAGACCTTTAAAATCATCAAGTACAACCATTAACCTAACAATGGTTTAAGAACGTAAGTATTACTTTCAAAAGCAGCTACAGAAGCCAGTTCTTGAAATGCCATCAGCTTGGAAAATTCTTAGTCCCTCAGTAGCATTTGAAAACTTGAACTCAGTTGTTATTGAGTACCATAGTAAGGTGGCTTTCAGAGGGTTTTCTATCCCTCATTTTGGATCTCCACGGATCTAGGATAAACAGTCTTTAAATTATCCAAGACTGCTGTTTTGAGAAGGGCAGTCATGCATCCATACCTTTCTTTCCAAGGGGACTGCTGAGGGTGTGCTGTGCAGCAAGTCACAGCGCTAGCTCAACTGGGAAATCGGGTCGCAAGGGACATAACAGGAATGTGGTCCTGCTGGTTTAGGACAGTTGTGAAATCATACCTTTAACTATGGGAAAAATGCAGAATAAAGTAAATTTTGATAATGTACGAACCTTCCAGTAGTAGCAGCTTCATTCATAGCTCTTTTAAATTCTTGTGGAGTTCAAGCGAACAGAAAGGGATGAATCTTCACATAATTCCTAAGTAAAGGGGAATTTAATAGTGGCTAATAGTGAAACAGGACACTGGGCTAGACTGACCTGGTGTCCTCTGACCTGGGACAGCTTATCCCTAAAGGTCACATCATGACTTTTGTGTTCCGGATTTAAATTCTACCAGTAACATCTGATATACTGGAAGACATTTGTACAGTAACTTTTAAAATAGTTTTGCTCATTCTTGCATGTTTTTTGTATGAGAACAGGGAAGAAATAATATCTGGACATTTGTACAAGAGGATAAAAAAATATATTAAAAGACAAAATGATCAAAAAGTTTACTACCCCTAAAGATGCACCAAACTGAATTTGCTTTGCCATGCAATTTTATTTCTAATATATTAAGATATCTGTACTTTTTTTTTTTTTTTCCTAAAAAGCCCTCCACCAGAAAGTGCGGTGCTCCACATAGTAACAGGGCCCTTCACTACTGGAAAGAAAGTCAACAGAGTTTATGGGTTCTCGTTATCTGCAATAGGCAGGTGTTTTATGAAGTTACTGACCCACTGAACTCAACAAGAGCTTAATGCTTAAATAAAACTGTGAGTCTTTGTCTCAGTTGCCTGATTAGCAGAATGGGAAGTTGTAAAAATGTCAGGTTAGCTGTGAAGTTACTAAGTAATAAGTACTAAACAGAAAAAAATGTGGGGAGAATGGTATAAGGTCCTTATTTAAGCAAAGTTTGAATAACATGTAATTAGAACCTGATTTATTCACTGGATGCTGATGTTAAAAAAGAAATGTCATTTAGATGCTTGCTGTGTTGAACACAGTCCTACCCGTGCAGTGAAAATAATGTGCATTTTTGTAATAATGACTACCAGAATGCCAGAATGCGTATAAGCCTGTGACCGTCACCTGTATTCCATTTTGCCCGTCATCTGTATTCACAGGTAAAGGTGCTGCTGGTACTGCACAACCATTTTGATCCTAGCAAAATAGTCGAAGCTTGCTAACAGCTGTTGTGGCTGCTTCTTGTTTTGTGCAGGCGTTTGGATTCAAATGCTCTTCACTGTGACTGTGAAATCCTGTGGCTTGCGGAGCTGTTGAAGACGTACGCAGAGTCGGGTAATGCTCAAGCAGCAGCTACCTGTGAGTATCCACGAAGGATCCAAGGAAGATCAGTGGCCACAATAACACCAGAAGAACTTAACTGTGGTGGGTTTGCCACTTCCCAATGGATTCTTTAATGTGTTACATGTCCCTAAACTGTATTTTTGTTGTTGTTGTTTTGTTAGAATTTGTTGTTGTGTTCTCTTTGATAACGCTGACCACATCTGGTCCATATTGGTTCTTTCCAGAAATCTCCCTATGTTTCTTCTCAGTTTTTGTATGCTTCTGACAGAACTGATTACTTTTACCCCTCAGTCTATCTTCAATGAAATAAATATAGCCATGTTTGAAAGTTCTCCTTGAGGAACTAAATGCGATTATCTGGAAAGAGTTCATTTTTCCATTTTGTATTTCAGTTTTGATCATAAAAGTATTGTTAACTAGGGTCTTTGGTGTTACGTTAATATTGTTTGGTGTCCTTTATTCCTTTCTGTACAAGCGAAAGGGAAGAAAGAAGAATTGCTCCCCATTTTACACATCTTGTTAAAAACTCTTGTTGATATTATTGGAATATGGGTCGGGCCACTGGATTTCTTTTTTACTCAGATGTATTTAACAGAGCACCCTGCACAGGTGCTGAGATCCTCTGTCACTGAAGGATTAATGGATAAGCACTTTTATTATAATCCTTTTGTTCCTCTGTGTTTCTTCAGCCTAGTGATGCAAAGGCTTGGCCCTGTGGGCACCCTGGTGCTTGGCCCTGCACCTCTTCTGTTCAAAAATCAAAATGCAGTTTTCTCATCAAGCTATGGGCATTTGCCTGCCCAGCCACATGATGAGGCCAAGATAAGTAAATTGTCCTTTTGGTTATGTATTGGATATAATTCTGATCATGAGGATTATGACCATAAGTGCCTACAAGGTTCTTGAAAAAGGTAGTACAAAGGGGATTTGGTGCAAGAATAATTCACATGGCATCCTACCAGCTCTCTGCACATCTAAGGAGCCGGAATATGGAAACTGCAGGAAGCAAGCTGGAAAAATTATTCTGTAGGAGGCAGGTTAGGCACTGATACTTATCTAGAGGAAGTTATTTTAAACGGCACTTGTGCTTGCTGCTTTAAAGTTTTTCCTTCATGAGCAAATTGAGCCTTTGTTCAAATAAATAAAACTACTACTTTAGAACCTGATACAAATTTGCACAATCCATTTCCAGTCTGCTAAAAGGTCCTAAGGAACAATGGAGGAGGTCAGAAAGCCTGCAGTCACTTTTGTGTAAGGAAAAGTGCATTTAATCCTGATTAAGCATATAAGTATTTTAAATTAAAGAATTAGTGAAAAATATTTTCCTACAAGATGTATGGAATTTTTTTATTTACCATTCTTTAGTAGTTTTAAAACAAGTAAAAGTTACTTACATGTTTTATTGTTGATACAGAGAGGCCAAGAATTACATCAGAGCCTCAGGATGTGGACGTTACCTCAGGGAATACAGTGTATTTCACTTGCAGAGCTGAAGGCAATCCTAAACCAGAAATTATCTGGCTTCGAAACAAGTAAGTTTCAAAGAGGAAGAGAGAAACTTTTTCTAAGTATGTTTGTCTGGGTGTGTGTACATTTCTGGGTGCATGTCTACACACATTACATGTTAATATATGGAATAATTACAGCAGAAATTTATTGTAATTAAAAGTGTATGAAATAATGGCTGAGATCTGTTTTATTAGCAATTCTAAACACTTAAGAGCTGATAACTTCAGAAAATATTAATCCATTACTATAATACTATTGGTAAGATTTTTCAACTGTAGTTATTCCTGCAAAGTTGCTCACACCTGTAAAACTAAAGCATTTATATGCAAGTGCCAGGCAATCCAATATGGATGTGTTGCACATGCAGTTTGCAGGTTAGCTACTGTTTGCATACATTTTGAGGCAGAGCAAAAGCTACTTTTTTAAAGGACTCCAGCTGGATAAGTATTAGGTTTCAGAGAAGGTCTTCCTTGAGCCCCAGCTCCTTAGAGGCAGCTTTCCTCTGAGGTGTAGCTCCATTATGGGAGAGATAAAAGAGATTAATTTTCAGACTCTCCAGAGTGGTGCTTATATCATAGGATTGTACAGCAATTCAGGTTGGAGGTGATCTCTGGAGGTCTCCAGTGGAGCTTTATGCTCAAAGCAGGATCATACCACCTTGCTTTATCCATTTGGGTCTTAAAAGCCTCCAAGGATGGAGGTAGCACAAACTTTCTGGGCAACCTTCTCCATTGCTTCTCCTCACTGCTTAGGGGATTGAAGGAAGGGCCTATAAAGGATGTGTGTCTTTCAGCAGCCCAAGAGACAGCCTGCTGCAGAGTGGCTGCTCAAGCTCTGCCCAGAGCCTGGCTCCTTCCAGCAGCACTGGGCACAGAATGGCTGAACCAGCCACATGGCAGCACATTGCCCTCCGCCTTAAACTGCTGCGAATTTGTGATGCACAAATGAATTGTTAATTACAACTAGCTTAATCAGACTTTGGCTTAATAATGCCCTTATGCAAATCGAGAAGCTGATCTGGAAAATACATTTCCTCACATTTTAGATTAGCAAATGAACCATTTTAATTTGTTAGTTGCTGATAAAATGAAACAATGTAGAGTCCTAGTTCTGTAGCTTTCTGCTGATGTCAGTGAGAACCCCATGTGCAGCAAGGGTACAGTGTTTATGGAGTATGTCAAGAACAGAGCCTTGAACTTGGATGGTATAATTGTTTCATTAAAATTTTCTTTGGCTCGTGTACTTTTTATAATAAACAAAAAAAACATGTATTCAGAATACACATATGAAAGAGTTTTAAGAAGAAATTTGAGCCTGGGGTGTGGGATTATTGACTCTGGCTTGTTTCCTGGCTGCATGAATGAGAGCAAAGCTCTTTGCAAGGTAGTTGAAGATGGCAAGATTTCAGTCAAAAGCCGTTGACCTGTTGAGCAGTATGTTGAATAGATCAGCAGGCTGGGTTTTGTACATAGGGGGTTAGATCTCATCCCTCCTCTGTGCTTTCTTCATCATGTAGTGAGGGATGGAGCGAGAAACAGTTCATTTGATAAAAACTCCTGACCGTTCTTAATTAGTGTTACAGAAATGCATCCGTGACATAGCCTGAAGACCTGATCTTATGTTTCAAGCCAGTACAAATTATGATGAGGTCCATTAGTGCTCCTTGAGCAATCCAGACAGAGTTTGGCACAAAGATGGCTTTATAGCAACTAACCCCTCTCCTAGTAGAAAGTATCTTGAGTGTTGAACTTACATGATATACTTCCAGTGGAAACATTTTAAATTGATTTGCCAGTTAGAACAGACTTCAATGAAAATGAGACCAGGTATGTGTATTTTGTTCACTTGTTTCCCCTATAAGCTTTTACTCATGAAAGTATTTTGGTTTTTCATTTTGAAGATGTAATATCTGCATAAGCAAAATTGGTTCATTTTTTGTTTTTCCTCTTCTTCTCTTTAGGAGAAAACTAGAAGTTTTATTAATTCCCTTAATACTGTAAAACTGCCCCCGCCCCCTCCTCCCCCA